CAAGGGCCTGAGTTCAGTCCCAGGTTCTGCAAAAAAAGAAAAAAAAAACGAAAGAAAACTAGCTCTGAGACAAGGTCTTAGAAGAAATACAGCTCTGTTAAATATCTACTATAGGTATGCACTTCACACTCATACTTCTAAGGTTCCTCAAAACTGTAGGCCCAGGAGTACCTGTTTATAAAGCAGATGCCAGGCCAGGTGCACTACAGGTGGTGCACACCTGTAATGCCAGCACTTGGTTTCTTTTTTTTTTTTGTATTTTTTTAGGGAAGGGTCTACAGGGTGTTCAGGGTCTCACTACTAGATTGGACTCATAGCGATCTGCCTGTTTACAGCCTCCCAAGAGCTGGGATTACAGGTGCGCGCCACCACACCTAGTCTCAATTGCTGTCTCAGTGTGCCCCTAGGCCAGGGTCTGCACAGCATGGCATTGTAGGCCTGGGGATCCAACCCCTGGCCCCTGCACCTGCTTGAAGGCACTTTAATCCACTGAGCTATCTGACCAACCCAATGCCAGCACTTGGGAGGCTGAGACAGGATTGCTGAGTTCAAGGCCAGCCTGGGTTACAAAATGAGTTTAAAGCAGCCTGAGGGCTGGGGAGATAGCTCAGTAGAATAAGGGCTTGCCTGACAAGCTCAAGGTCCTGAGTTCAATCCCCAGTACCACAAAAAAATACATAAATAAAGCAGCCTGAACTGCATAGTGAAACCCTGTCTCAAAAAAAGACAAAGACCAGGAGCCAGCCAGATAGCTCAGTGGACTAAAGCACCTGATTAGGCATGTGCAGCAACCGGTTGGATCCCTGCCTGTTGTGCCAGCCCCGCCCCCAGGGCGCACTGAAATGCACTGATTCCAGGCATCGTGGCAGATGACTAGGAGTCCAGTCTGTGTAGTGACCCTGTAGACTCTACTAAATACAAGAAAAGATGAAGACCAAAAAGTAGAACCCAGGGCCACCATGTGGACCCCTGGAATCTCAACGGGTGTGGGAGAGTTTAGGAATCTACATTCTGGTAAGCCTCTCCATTAGTTCTTTTTTTAAAATTATTTTTATTTATTTATTTTTTAATTTATTTTTT